AACGAGAACAAGAGTTGCATGAGAGTTGATGAGAGTTGAGAAGCAAGAGTTTGCATGAGAGTTTTCTCAACTCTCATGTCCCGGTCAAACGAGAACAAGAGTTGCATGAGAGTTGAGAAGCGAGAGTTTGCATGAGAGTTTTCTCAACTCTCATGGCCGGTCAAACGAGAACAAGAGTTGTATGAGAGTTGCATGAGAGTTGAGAAGCGAGAGTTTGCATGAGAGTTTTCTCAACTCTCATGTCCCGGTCAAACAAGAACAAGAGTTGCATGAGAGTTGATGAGAGTTGAGAAGCGAGAGTTTACATCAGAGTTTTCTCAACTCTCATGGCCGGTCAAACGAGAACAAGAGTTGCATATGAGAGTTGACTGGATATTACCAGTCAAACGAGCAAAAATTCTTGTCAAAATTTGAACCAGTTCAAAGTTGACGAGAGTTAACAGTCAAACGCGACTTTGATCTGGAGATAACGCGCGGTGTCAGATCTGTGTACCTACATAACTAGGTCTAACTCCTGTATTCTAAAAGCTCACTCACACTCAAAGAGTCAAGAGTGGAGGTTCAATCTGAGCCAGTGGCGTGCTGGGTACTATTTTTCTGGAGGGGCCAGTGGGCTGTCAACCAATATGCGCCCCTATAATGTTACACTTGATAAACGAGGGCCGAAGGCACGAGCCGAGTGCCGCAGGTGCGAGGTTTGTCTAGGGGGTCCGGGGGCATGCCCCCCAGGAATTTTTGAATTTAGAGTCTCTGAAATGCCATTTCCTGGACTTTGGGGGAAGATTTGACAGAAATCTGATGGTCAGGAAACGGCATTATAACGTGTCGAAATTTACAATTTGGTTAGAATTTAGTAGTAGTACTTAAATTATGCAATGCTAACTACTTCCAGCGATTAATCTAATCCCAATTCTGTTCTCTACTGATCTACTGTTCTGAGCATATTTACAACTTACAGCTCTTTTATACAATAACACATGCATCCCACGCATATGCATTTTAAGTTTTCCTTGCCTGGCTGCCAAAAGGGCATGTTTCAGCATTATTCCATTACTTACATTACTCATGCTTCTTGTGCAAACAACTAAATTGCGTACACAACTTTACATCAGTTATCATAACTTCAACTATCTAATTTGCGCCGCTCTCGTAATTCGTGAAGCATAATAAAGGGCATAATATAAGGGCATAATATCAGCAAAAAAGGGCATAATTCCCGTGATCGCTTCGATCGAAACCTGACCAATATTCTGGTAATGAGACATTGCCTGTGATCACTGATCATGTTTCTATATTTCGTGTGAGCTGTGAGGTAGCAAATACGGTTAGGCAAAATAGTCAGTAATTTAATAAATGTCGCCTATGCGCTTAGTTTGTTTTATACTGTAGCCTATAAACACGTCTTTTCTTGGCAGAAGTAACCATATTTTTTTGAGAATGCTTTTTTTCCCACCTACTTTCAAAATTCGGCGCCCCATTTTCATTTTTGCGCCCACCAAGAATTGCCAGCTGGGGGGGCCGTGGCCCCCCGGCCCCCCCTGCCAGCACGCCACTGATCTGAGCTTCCCTTGAGTGTCAATGCTGTTTTTGAATAGCTGGAGGGTTAGTGTCGCACCTTACTACTACTGACCCTCCTGCAGCTATTCAAAAACAACTTTGACACTCGAGGAAAGCTCAGATTGAACCTTCACTCTTTGAGTATGAGTGAGCATTTAGAACACAGGCGTAAGAGCCTGTCCGCAGGCTACACTGTGAGATATTGCAGGATTCATTTACCTTTTTGTGACTTTTTGCCTTCAGAAGCTTGAGATGCAAGGTAGATTGCCGCGGCTGCCACTGATATGGGACTACGACTGAAAACAAAAGAAACAAAATGTTATATAATCTATACAATTCTATATAATTATTCTCCTTTTATTTAATTCAGCATCAGAACAACTAACCCAGCTACTAAATCAAGATCCATAGCTTTCCTTGCAATGTGTGTTGCAGCCTTCTGGACTGGCATTGGTAATCGTAAGTTTGAGCAGAACCGAGACTAGAAGGAATGAAGGAAAGAAAATCAGGATTGTTGTTGATCGAGCTGGGTGAGGTATGATTCCTGCAATATGCAGTTGTCTCATGATAATTTCACCTCAGTCACATGTGAAAAGAGTGGTAATCCAATTTGATTCTCATCAATCAGGGTCCCATTCCTGCAATATGTAGCTGTCTCATTATAATTTCACCCCAGTCACATATGAAAACAGTGCTTCCAGTTTGACTCTACCAAACACTGAAACACGGAAGATTTTCTCTGGATGCTTTGGTTTCCTCCTGCAATAACACTACATGAATGGAAGAGATTATTTCGCTGGCCTCAGAGTGACAAAATTTATTTTATTTTATTTATTTATTTAGCTTTGCCAACTAGGGCAGGGTCACCACAACAGCATATGCCAATTACTGTGGGCCCTTTTTTACCTAACCCACCCTGTCAACTTTTCCTGTGGGAGGAAACCGGAGTACCCGGGGAAAACCCACAGCTTTCGGCAGAGCGTTGACTTTTACTCTTTTCACATGGGGACTGGGTTCGAGTCGCACTGAGAAGGTACTTAGTGATATTCGAACCTGCAGCCTCAGAGGTGGAAGGCAAGTGCGCTAACCACTTGGCCACCGAAGCCCCTAAAACGTAACAAAGCAACGGTTTTACTAACACTAACCGTACTCCAAACACCAACTCTAACCCTAATAATCTTTACCCTAACCCTAACCTAACCCTACTCCAAATTCGTTTCTAAACCAATTTTGAAGAAAAAGGTTTTGACGAAATGTCAGTCTGAGGTCAGCGAAATAGTTGATGCCTACATGAATGCGAAAAGGCCCTTATTGATGTAGCACTATTCCAACAACACCGTTTTAATAACGATTAACGTTCTGGTTAGATTGGAACGCGTTCTGGAATGTAATTTGGAACGCACTGTCACTGTCAGACGACACTGAGAACTCAATTCAAACGTAAATGGAACACGACGAAGAATGCGTTCCAGACAGATCATGCACAGAATTACAACGAGGTGTACCATAAAATCTCCCGATGTTATAAGATCCACACTAGTTTCCAGAGCTCTTAAAGTGAGCTTGAAACATCGACCAATTTCTTTCTTGGAAACTTTACTAACGGCACAGATTTCTATGAAAATATAGATTGAGATAATATTGAAAATACAAGTTCTTCTAAGGACATTCTAAGAATGGGAGAGAACGATAGTTGGGTTTCACTAAACACTATTAATCGCGCAGCAGATGATGGTCAACCTGCAGTTAACAGAGTGAGAAAATAATGTTCATTCTTTTCATTATATGTAGAAGTACATCTTGGTGGAGAATAAAATAATAAATAGCATGCAAAGTTTAATATTCTTGCTCTAATTGTAAGTGTGAACATTTGTGAATTTGACCAATACCTTTAAACGTTCTTGGTACACCCTCTTGTCGACAAGCAATACACAGGCAGGCTGAGGCTATGGCATCATTACTCCGACCTTTCAGGCTCTTTTGTTCATGAACTTGTTTAAATAACGTGTTTGCTCGATCCTAAATATAACAAAAACATAGTCATATATGTCTGAGACCATGGTCCTATAATTAGCTGTGTAGTCAAATATACCAAGACTACAGTTATTGGTCCTTGGAAGCAGTGACGGAAATCTTGGTGGGGCGGGGCGCCCCCCCCCCACCTTCGTGGAAAATGACAAATTTTCGGAAATTTTGACCTATAAAAGGGCTAAAAACAGCCTTTTCGAGTGCAAATGGGGGGGTTTGTCGGAAATTTGAAAGTTTTGTCGGAAATTTAAAAGGCTTCGCCCCCCCCCACCAGAAAAAGTGAATTTCCGCCACTGCTTGGAAGAATATAGTCTTAGCTCACCACAATATTTTTTGGCAGATTAATGCGATCAGCCATAACTGATATTTCCCTAAATGCTTGTAATAGACTCCGATCTGAACCAGATGCCTAAAAATGAGGTAACCAAGTTGGATTGTTTAAAACAGCATAAGTAGCAATTATTAATGATTGGGTTCATTATTCACAGCAATTTCTTGAATAATCTTAAGTTTTCAGGAGGAATATTCCTGTACTTACCCCACCACGATTATGCATTTTGGAATAACCATCCATATCATACTTGCCAGGAGCACCTCTCTCAATCATTGTAGACAAGTCTGTACCACCCAGGAGTGGGTTCTAAGAGAAAAGTTTAAAATTGAAGTAATTGCACTAACATATTGTACAGCAGTTATAGCTGAAAGCCTCAGAAACAAAAAGTAACCCTATTTATCTGTCTAAAGCCGGACGGTTTTACTTGTTAACCCATTGAGTGGCACACTCTCCACTTGACAAGTAAAATTGTCTGGCATTAGACAGAGTAAAATACTAAAGTAGGGTGCATTGCCACCTATAGGGTTAAGGGGAACCATGTGCCTTGTTAAAGAATATTATTATCCAGTGATATAAAGTGCAAGCTACTGAAGATTATAATGATTATGATCAAACTATATAATTCATGATTATAATCATATATAATTATCAGTTGATTGTAATCAAGCTTTATAATACAATAATAATATTTTATTATAACCTTTATGACCTAATTATCACTGATTATCAAAATTAATCAGTACATGTCTTAATTATCCATGATCAGTTAATTACATGATTATATTGGTTAATTATCGAATATGTCGCTCCAGTTAATACATTTACAGCTCATGGACCGCTTCGCGCGTATAAAGCCTGGGTTCCAGTTTCCAAGAAGAAAGAAAATATGGAGTTCAAACAAGACAATTTTCACAAAAGCATTTCAACTAATTTTTTCAACGCTTTTACTCACTTGTGCTGCGCCAACACGAGACGGATCTGACACTGACTTCTCGTTGTTAAATGTTCGCCATTCTGATCCTACATCGACAACGCTATAAGGGGGAAAAAGCGACGGTTTTCAACAGTGACTTTTGCTGATTTTGACAATAAAAACGTTTGTTTACAACCGGAGATTTTTTAAGTGAAACACTTTTTTAAAAGCCTGAAACGGTAAAGTGAATACTTTATGGAAATGTATAGGTGTTATCTGTTGACTAAAGCAGCATTAACACGCGTTGGATTAATTTTAGCGTGTAAAATATTATTTTTAATGGTGACGTTCAAATTAAAAATTACCGATCTCCGACTACTAAACCGCACTCAGGACAAACCATGTCGCCTGCGCGGTAATCTTCCACCAAAAATGCATCAGGATGTTGCGGACATTGTAAATTCACCGTGTTCTTTCTACAATAAATAAAAGTTTATGTTCCGTGAGTTAAATTTGTTGAAATTCAAGCTGAAACAGCGTGAATTTTGACACGGCCCTACCTCGAAGACATGTTGTTCTCAAATGCAAGTTTTTTCAAAATACGTCATATATATAGCCTCGGTTCGATGACATTTACCGGAAGTTAGAACAACGCTAAAAATATATATATTAGCAATAAAAGTTTCGGGAAAACCCTAAAAAGCAAAAATTGTATCATGTTTATCCTTTGCTAAACCGAAATTTTCGAGAAATTTTGTGTAGTAGCGACAATTTAAATAATGTAGGCATCCCATACACAGAAGAAAGCCTAAAAGTGTGTTAAAAACGAAGCCCTAGTCTAGTTTTTTTATGACTAACTTTAAATTTTTTTTTTGAGTTCACGTTTATTTCCGTGGTATACCTGGGCATTTTTTATGGCACTACTGGGGCAAAGTCTTAATGAAGGAAATTGAAGGAATGATTTTAGATGTATGAATGTACAATCCAGGAAATTTTGATCTTTTGAAAAACAGAATTTTATTTTCAAAACGCTATTACATAAATATAAAAGTATTTTACAATTCATGTATTAATTTATTGATATATGCTAATTATAATATTCTGTACATCAATATTTCTAAAAGTTTTCATGTTATTTTCAAGAATTAAGAGTTCGTCATATATTTGCAACATTGTTCATACGCCATGAATGAGACACCAACCGAACTGGCACCCTGTATAAAATTTGAAAACAACATTAAAAAAGTCAGTGCTAATAGGCCCTTCCAAGGTTAAGGACGGCATCTCTACCTATAGGGAATTCCATTGTATTTGCATCCCTTGCAGCATTGTGTTTCATTATGGCGTCGTTAACTTTGGAAGGGTCTATTACATTATCAGAAAAGTGGTAACAAGGCCGAATGTGAGTTAGTGCGAAGGCAAGAGCCTGGGTACGAGGTTGGTGAGTTACCTGAAAAAGTCAAAATGTGAAGTGGGTGGTTATGGGTATAAACAATTGTTTTAATTTATTTATAGGTCTGTATATAATTGGTTGGTTACCTTTGTTCCCTTCTATGCTCTGCACATGATCAGAACATTGGTATTAACTAGGCATCAGAGTTATCCGAAATTGTGAAGTGAGAGGCAACGAGCATTTACCAACCTTTATAATATTGACTTTCAGTCCTTTATAAAAGCCAAGAATTCCTTCGTTTCTGGCAATATTCTTGATACAATGAAGCATACCACCTGACTGAGTTGTATGGTGGGCTGGTACTACGCTACCCTCACGAAACGCAAAGCCATCAATCTATAACGAGAAAGATTTTTTGCACGTTGCTACGTCATCTTTCATAGCACATTGGCTATTGCAGGAAATGATGCCACGTTTTTACCTCAAAATATCCTAATTTCCTAAACTAACTTTATTTATACTGGATAGCTCTATCAGTTCTAAACTGTTCTTCTTAGAGGTCCAGTAAGAATCGTCTCGTTTTGATCCAGTGTTACTGCAGGAGGAAACCTAAACTAAACTAACTTTATTTATGCTGGATAGCTCTATCAGTTCTAAACTGTTCTCCCTAGAGGTCCAGTAAGGATCATCTCTTATTGATCCAGTGTTACTGCAGGAGGAAACCTAAACTAAACTAACTTTATTTATACTGGATAACTGTATCAGTTCTAAACTGTTCTCTCTAGAGGTCCGATAAGGATCATCTCTTATTGATCCAGTGTTACTACAGGAGGAAACCTAAACTAAACTAACTTTATTTATACTGGATAGCTGTATCAATTCTAAACTGTTCTACCTAGTTCCATATTTGTCCAATTTTACCACAGGAGGAAACTGGAGTTCCCGGAGAAAATAATAGGTCAAAGTGTTTGGTAAACGTCAAACTCCAATACTTGATATTTCAGGAATTGAAGCAAGAGTCGCAGAGATTAAAGACCCATGCACTGACCACCGCGTTATTTTGTGTTCAGGAGTGTCTTTCTTCTACCTGTAATCGTTTCTTGACGACGTCCAAAGGATGAATGATAATTTTGCTAAGGATACCAGACATGGCGCCACAGAATAAACTTTCAGTCGCTGAAACATCGCTATCAACCTTGAGGTCATGTAAAGAAAAACTAGGTTAGTAGCATTGGCGAGAATCTCCCAGGGGTTTCCAGGAACCAAAGGAACACGGTATATTTTGCAATGGGGAACAGGGCCGAAAAATCATAGGGAACCAGGGAACACGATGAAATCCTTTTTGAGAACAAAGCCAAAGGGACAAAGGAAAACTCAGGCCTAGAAAATATATTTCATCAGTTCCTGGCAGCAAAATTCAAAAATTAAAATTTCCTGTGTAAGTCAACTATAGAATGTAAATTTCAGAGAACATGTGGACTATGATGCCGCACTTGACTTGCAAAATGTTTAATTTGAAATTTTCAAACAAGAAGTAAATTATATGGCATTCTTATATATAAGATGACAAAAATTTCCGAAGCTCGTGCGTGTCAATAAGTTGTACACGAGAAATTACGAGACCTACTAGAGAGTTAATGTAATCCTTCCAGATGATTTGTAGTCCAGTGTAGAATGCAAAATGCATCCCTGTTTGGGGAAAAATCTCCATCATCGTCGGTACCAAACCTGTATTGAAAAAAATTAGTAATAAATATCGAGATGATTTAGTACTGAAGAGCGTTTTCTGGAAAGCCCAAACACAAGATGACTTGTCAGTACCTTTGTAAAACGTTCTTAAACCATTTTCGTGATACATTGCCCTGACAGCTTGATACAAACTATTGTAGACCTGTTGAGTGATAAAATTATTTTTATTACAAGAGCATGGTGCTTTTTTCGCGCACCGACTAAACCAAGGACTCAAATCACTCAATTACATGGTTTTAGGCCTTCATCATGAAAAAATGTGCTTGAGAAAAGATGCGCGTTCCATGGGGTGCCCTTCTGGGCAAGGCCTGGCTGGTTGGTTGGTCTGAAGGAGAAGTCATAGCCAGGATCTTAATGGGTGATTCCCAGCTATAGACTAAATTTTGATCAAGGGAAGAAAAACGAAATCCAACAGCACAGCTAGAAAGAGCGTCTTAGGATGAGTAAAATTGCAAAGATTGGTTTCTAAATGTGGTAAAATGAAGACAATATAGCTCTGTGAAGTTCGCAAATTTTGTATATATTTGTATTACGCGCGGTAAAAATAACCACTTTCGGCTCAAAAATGGTTATTTTCACGCGCGTAATGAAAATATATACAAAATTTGTGAAGTTCACAGGGCTATACTTTCCTCATTTTACAACAATTCGCAACCAAACTTTGCAATTTTACTCATTTTAAGATGCTCTTTCCAGCTATGGTAATGGATTTCGTTCTTCTTGTATTGATCAAAATTTCGTCTACAGCCGGAATCTCAGTTAGTATTCTCAGTGATTCATGAACCGACCTTGGGTTCACCTTGTGCCACAAGTCTTGTTCGCAAAACGTCGATAGGTTGAACAATAACTGATGAACAACAGCCAGCTAAACCTCCACAAATGAAATGTGTCGCTAAAAATGAAAACCAAGGGTTGCAAAATAAAAAATTACAGGATGGAATTCAAATCTATCTTTTTTATTTGGTTGAAAAACAGTTTTTACATAACATTCTACCTGGTTTTAGGTTTGCATATTTTTCATGTGAAATTATTTTCCAAGCTAATTTTGTCAGAGCTTCAAATGATGCAAACTAGAATTAAAATTTAAATTAATATATTACAAAGAATTCAGGTAAGATGGAAACAGCTAGAGCAGGGGCATAGCCTGTGGCTCTGCCTCTGAGCTGAAATATGTTCACTTGCTAAATCTTAAGGCGTCATCTTAAGTGTTTCTTAGCAGAGGCTGCTCATAGCTTGAAGTTACAATACTGAACAATTACCTGGACACACCCATATGTTATCGACAGCAGTTGTGCTGGAATATGACCTTTCCTGAAGACATGTACAGTATGGTATTGGTTAGTATGTTATCAAATATTTGGTACGTTTAGTAAAATCTAATATTGACAATATTAATTCACCATAATGCTTTAATTCCTTCTTCATTTGCAATTACATTCAACGATTGAAAGAGTCCTCTGTATTTACTGATAGGCCCAGTAGTAATTTTCTGGTAAAAGACAGATGTAATAAATAATCTTATTATATTATAAATTCCCTTTGTTGGGAGGAGTTTGTCACCTACCTCCTGATAATTTTGGTTTGAAACATGAAAGTGTTTTTTCAACTTTTTCATATGTAGTTCAGAAACTCAGACAATACCTTATTAGTAGGTTCAACTTGTATTTGCAGTCGTATCTTGACAACATCAAGTGGCTGTAACAACAGTCGTGTAACAACGCCTGATGTCGCACCAGCCAATGCATACTGACCGGTCGTTAGCTGAGTCTGTTTCTCATCATAGCCAACCATTTAGTAGCTTAACAAAACAAAGGTTTTACTTTAATGGTTTAAACATGCAATATGGATAGATAATCTGGTTATAAACTCCAATGGTCTGTACAAGCTTAGGTAGTGATAATAACACCAGAATGCAGATTGAGGGGGATTTAACTAGGTACCTGAAAAATACATACACATAAATATACATATACATACATATTCCTACTTAATAATAATTATGAATATGTGTGCAGTTTAATGAAGTGAAATTCATCAACTTAAGTCCTAAAGGGGGTTCATTTTCAATGGTTTTAGGCCCAACTCTCAACGGTGAAAATATGCGATTCTGATTAACATTTTTTGTCGGATTCGTATTTGCTCATTTTTTATCCATTTGGCATGAAGAAGATATCATTCAACAGCTAAAAGCATGATCTTTCCGAATGTGAAAAAATCTTACAAGCTGTGAGCAATTCAGATAAAATAGCGCGCTAAAGTTAGATTACCTTTTTTTTATACACCCTGTATTACTCAGCACACTCCTTTATCAGGGTTTTTCAGTGACTGGTTACATTAGAGCAGACCGAGGTAGACTGTGAGCTTACAAATGGTGCTTTAAGCAGCCGCTATTAGTCCATACCTCATTAATGATCTTCCCCCTGACCTATGTGCCTAACCCACCTTGTCAACTTTCCCTGAGTATCCAGAGAAAACCCACAACTTTCGGCAGAGCATTGACTTTTACTCTTTTCACATGAGGACTGGGTTCGAGTCACATTGAGAAGTTCTCACTGAGGCTTGAACCTGTGGCCTCAGAGTGAAAGGCAAGTGTGCTAACCACTTGGCCACCGAAGCCCCCAAATACAAGCAAAACTTCAACGTTTTGAGCGAAGAAGTTAGTCACCGACTTCCTGACAAGGGGAAACTGACATCACAGTTTTACTTGTATTTTTCAGGTTGTTGAATCCCAGATAATCTGGTTAAATTGGTTAATTAATTGTTGATGTTTACATCTATAGAAAACATCAATTTATATAATAGCATATGCATATACATTATAATAATGCTTTAAGATTAGGTTTATTTACCCACAAATAATATTTACAAGTTGAATATTTAAGAATATATAAACGGGCTAGAGACCTCTGGAAATCCTGTTGGACTTTTAAGACGAGGCCCCTATAGTTTTAGTGTTCAGTAATATAAAAATAGATTATGTACATAAGGACAATTTGCAATGAAAAACACAAACTATTTACAAACAAATATGAAAATGTTTAAGGAATATTTAGTACATTACAGAATACTGTCATTAATATTCCTGAAATATTTACATCAACTAGACATCAAGTAATAGGATTTTGCAGTTTTCTTAAAAGAAAAATATGATTTAATATTTTTAATTTCTTCATCAAGGCAATTCCATATAGAAACTCCTTTGTTAAATACAGTGTATTTGCGATAGTTTGTTCTCTTATAGCTCACATGTAACTTGGTAGAATTTCGAGTATTATAGTTGTATAGTTCATTATTTTGTTTGAAGTAATCATTATAAAAGTCCGGCAAATTTTGACAATAATTGAAGCGATACATGAATAAGCTGCATAGATAATCATTAATTTTGTAGATATCCAAGATTTTCAATTGTAAAAATATTGGTTCAGAATGATCCATATAAGATTTAAAACAGATTAGTCGTACAATTTTTTTTTGCACATTTAGTAACTTTTGTAACCTTGTTGGGTATGTACTTCCCCAAACTAGATTTCCATAGATTATTATTTCTTTCCATAGATTATTATTTCTTTGCATAGATTATTCAAAATATGAGAAATCTATTTAATATGTCTGCATTAAAAGTAAATGGTACTATAAAAGAAAATCATAAAATACAAATTTAAACTACACTGTACTTACAGTACAAATTGCTCTGTCCACAGTTTTATTTAATATATCCTTTTCCTTAAATAACATACGCCAGAATCCGTTAGTGCCATATGGCATACTGTATCCATTCTTTATTAATAAAACGTACTGATAAACAAATTATTTTATTAAGTATCAACCAACAAACTGCAATTTCGTGGAAATAACTGGAAATTTAAAAGCTTTTCCTAAATTCCTGTCACTTTGAAATAGAGTGTTCACTCCAGAAGTACATACATAGTTCAGTGGATATCGACTTTTGGTGTATGTTATTTCAAATGGTATCGTCAGCGGTTTGTTTTGTTGGGCTCAGAATGGAATTTTGAAATTCAAAGGAGCATCTGACTTTTCAAAACAAGACGCATTATAAGGAATTAAAAATGCGTGTTGCCTGTTAACGACGACAACATTTGCAAAACCAAGCTATTTTTTATTTATCACGGAAGATGAACACTCAACGTAGCTGACCTGGTTCTATTTTGACCACAAATGAAAGACATGTCCGAAATATCAACGGTTAAACCGGCACGCGCCAAGAGGACCTTACCAAGTTTACCCAAAAGTTGCAAACCATCAAATGGCGTATTTTTGTCACCAACGTGCTCGCCGAAAACTGCAAGAAAAAACTGCACAAATTCACCTTTGGCTACGACAGGAAAAGAAAGGGCAAAGCCATCGCGTTTGCCGATACGAAGGACTCAGTCGCTTAGCGAAATTTCAGTGCAAAAATCCAGCACAAATAATAACAAATTGCGTAAACAGGCGACTATAAATTCTAGCGAGCTCAGTGGAAAAAATTCTAATAATAATAATACCAAACATATAAAATTATCAACGACTCCTGGAGAATTAAATAAAGCAAAAACCACGAAAAATACTACGGTAAAAAAGCAAACAAATTCGTTAAATATACAACCGAAAACCGAACCAAGAATGAAAAAAATTCAAGAATTATCAGACGCTATAAATCATTCGAACTCAGAGACAGAGAGTTCAATTTTAACAAAAAGCGAGAGCATAGATAGTGTCTCGGGGTTGGAATTAGAGGAGGAACGATCCTGTGTTACCGTGGCCGTGCGAGTACGACCTTTTAACCAAAGGTAAACAACTTTAATAATACTGTATATATTTCTGTGTAAATTGAAAGTGCAAATACGGTGTATATAAAATTAGAGTAATGTTTGAATTTGGTTAATTGAAGTGGGCAAGACCGCGAACGTCTAATATTTGACCGTTATTAATTTTGGGTAATTTATTAATAACAATACTTATAATGCCACGTGCGCTCGAGCAGGAATTTCAAACGTATAATTAGTGAGCATTCTTTGTGCTCAGCATGTTGTTTTTGACCTGCTGATTCCATTTACTTATATAGAAATGATTAAAAATTTGAAACGTATATTAAATTCAAACTACATTACACCTCCGTTAAAATTACTTATTAACCAGATATTAATTTCTAACTCAGTTAATATGTAGGAACAGTGTCTATGGCATGCCATATTTTTTTCATTTTGTTAATTAAATGCATGAAACATCGAGAGATTGGCATCTCACTTTTGAACTAGACAAAGCAGTTTGCAGCTGCCGTTAAGAAAAATATGGTAATGTAGATAAAAATTATGCATAAATTTAATGCCATGGTAATATATAAACATTATAAATTTTCTATAGTTGTAAGGAAATTTGGCATGCATTTTAAGCACATTTGCCATTTTATTTTTTTGTTATAGTATAACCAATTACATAAATGAGTTAAGGCGTTTGAGAGTGTCTCATTATCAATTTCTCATCATGGATTTGATTGGCCAGTATTTTGCTAGCCAATCAGGTGATTGGATTGAAGTTCAATTTAAAATGTGATATAGAGCTATTATCATAACAATATACTTAGAGGATTGCATGATCAAACTACCAGAAAAATATAACATTTCCTAAATTTCTTGTAGGAATTCCTATTGGAAATACAAAAGGGATTTTGTACTATTCCTATAGGAATTCCTTTAAGAAATGCAATTTTCTATAGGAAATCCTATGAGAATTCTTACAGTAAAGGGAATTCTATTCCTATAGAAATTTCTATATGAATCCAAACTTTTGGAACTCCTATAGAAATTCTGATCTGGGGTGAATAGGGCTATACAAATCCACCGATCTGCCCAAATTCGAAGCAAAATCCGCGATCCGACAATGGTCTTGTCTAAATTTGAATCCGCTAAAAGCTCTACTATAAAGTCACAATCCAGGACCCGAACTAAATTGCAAGCTAAATCCACAATCCGAGCCAAAATATTAGATAAATCCGCAATCCGCTGTATTAATAAGATCCGCAAATCCGTGTAAAATATTCGCCAGATCTGAAATCCGAACAATTTTTTCTGTGAAATCCGACGATCCGAAAACCTATTCACCCCCCCCCAATAGCCTACTTGCAACTACAATTATGATATGTACAAAAGGTTCTGTCTCAGTGACAGGTCTGTGACCTCCAAGTTTTCCATGCTTGTCTATCATTAGCTCTTTTCTTCATATTTTCTCTTCCTTTAAAATATCAAACAATGAACACCTTTCTCTCTCCCTTTTCCCAAGAAAACAACTTTCTCTGGCTGCTGTTAACAGTATTGTATAATTTATTTTAAGAGAGTTGAAGAATACCAATGCACAATTATGTTTGACTGCGGAGGGAAACACACTTTTTACGTCAGGCCCAGGTTTAAAACACAGCTTCTCATACGATCATTGTTTCTGGTCATTTGATGAGAACTGCGAAACCTTTGCTACACAAGAATATGTTTATAACAAAATTGGCAAACCTCTGGTGGGAAATGCTTTTGATGGCTATAATACATGCCTGTTTGCATATGGACAAGTAAGAAAATCTCATTGACTAATGTAGCCTAACAGACTGACGGACAAAGCAGCCTTACAAGTGAAAATGTCTGGTATTAGACAGAGTAAAATAATAAAGTAGGGTGCATTAGGGTACAATGCAACTTAATGGGTTAATATGTCGTGATTTTTTTCTAGACGGGATCTGGAAAGTCATACAGGTATTGTCTGGTATTTTTTGCAAAACGTTTCTTGAATATTCAACTATTATTTTTTCATTATTGAAATTGTTAATTCTTTACCCTATATTGTCAAATTTGAAGCATGATGGGATTAAATCACGAAGAACAGCCTGGGATCATTCCAAGATTTTGTGAAGATCTTTTTGAAAGAATGAATTCATGTCCTGAGGTATGGGAGAATTTCAGAAAAAGCATGCAATAGCTCATGGTGCACATACATGGCTATAAAAGCAAGTGCAAGTACATGGCCTGTCCATGCCAAATTTGTAGGTAATTTCCTCTACAGTATGGGGAAATTGTTCAATGACTTCTGTCTATCATCGTGCTTTTGTGTGTGTCTTGACTGTGGATTTATTTTTGCAATCTCTGTGTTTGTAGTTGACATTCTCAGTGGAAATCAGTTACTTTGAGATTTACAATGAAAAGATTCATGACCTGTTGGATTATCACAAAGGAAAAGACAATAAAAAGTCTCATGTAAGAACTTTGATGCAGATTTAAAATAAAACCTAACATGCAATACGACGAACTACCCTTCTATCTTTTCCTTGCCCAAGTTCATTCAGACTGACGCATAATCTCTCCATATTTATATACTGTACAATGTGCATACATGTTCTTCTCTAACGAGTAAAGAGGAACAATACAGATAGCTTGTTCCATTTGATAGCCCATCATCTTACTCTAGACTGGTATAATACCATTAATTATTTTCTAGTTGCGTGTAAGAGAGCATCCCGAACTTGGTCCGTATGTTCAAGATTTATCAACGTATATTGTCAGTAGTTATGCTGATGTAGAGGTAATAGCGATGGAAGATCGACATCAACAAATCAGTTATGACATTATAACTGTTTAATTTCTATTATGACTGTCTCAATTCTTCAATAGAGAGCTTCAGATTTAAACCAATCAGATGCGTTTAATCTACTTGATTAACCAATCAGATGCGTCGTTAGCCAGTGAGAGGTAGCAGTATAGTGGAAGTCGAATCTGAACCTCTGTAATAACATGGTCCTGCACTGCCTGGACGTGATAAGATGTGGGATAATTTTTTGACGGAACCTTCGTAGACGACGTAGTTTCCATCTGGGAATAGTCTTCAGTAGTTCAGTCACCTCTTAGCCTGCGAGCAGAGAGCCTGTATGCAGTCTAGTTACCTCTATAACCTCTATTTGTCTGATTTTAGTCGTGGCTTGCCGTGGGAAACAAAAGTCGAGCAACAGCAGCAACGGGGATGAACGAAAAAAGTAGTCGATCTCATTCCGTGTTTACCATCATACTAACACAAACACAGGTTGGTAGAAAAATTCATGAAAATTGACGTTTTAAATAAATCTGCACGCAGAAATAAATCTGCGCGCAGGAATAAATCTGCGCGCAGGAATAAATCTGCGCGCACGAATAAATCTGCACGGAGGAATAAATCTGCACACAGAAATAAATCTGCGCGCAGGAATAAATTTGCGCGCAGGAATAAATCTATATTTGCACGCAGAAATAAATCTGCGCGCAGGAATAAATCTGCACGCAGGAATAAATCTTCACGCAGGAATAAATTTGCGCGCAGGAATAAATCTCCACGCAGAAATAAATCTGCGCGCAGGAATAAATCTGCACGCAGGAATAAATCTATATCTGCGCGCAGGAATAAATCTGCGCGCAGGAATAAATCTGCGCTCAGAAATAAATCTGCACGCAGAAATAAATCTGCACGCAGAAATAAATCTGCGCGCAGGAATAAATCTATATCTGCACGCAGAAATAAATCTGCACGCAGAAATAAATCTACACGCAGAGATAGAACTGCGCGCGGAAATAGAACTGACTTTTCTCGTTTGTCCAAGGTTTAGAGAGGGCGGACTGTACAATAAGGTTCTTTTCTTTTCGTTTCTTAGACGGAGTTATTGGAAGGAACGGAAACACAGATGTCCAAAACAAGCAAGATCAATTTGATTGATTTAGCCGGAAGTGAAAGAGCCAGCACGGCTTTAAATGATGACGTCATTGATTCAAAACAAACGTACGACTTGAGACTAAAGGTATAGCTTAGTTTGGATTGCAAAAGACGCAGCTCTAACGTGATCGTATCGAAGGCTTACTAGGGCGTCTCTGACTGCCACAATATGACAACAACAACAACAAACAAAACCACCACCACAACAACGACAACGACAACAACAACAACGACAACAACAACAACGACAACAACGACAAACAAAACAACAACAACAACAACAACAACAACAACGACAAACAAAACAACGACAACAACGACAAACAAAACAACAACAACAACAACGACAAACAAAACAACAACGACAACAACAACAAACAAAACCACAACAACAACGACGACAACAACAACGACAACAACAACAAACAAAACCACAACAAACAAAACCACAACAACGACGACGACGACAACAACAACGACAACAACAACAAACAAAACCACAACAACAATGACGACGACAACAACAACGACAAACAAAACCACAACAACAACGACGACGACAACAACAACCACAACAACAACAACAACAACGACGACAACGACAACGACAACAACAACAAACAAAACCACAACAACAACGACGACGACAACAACAACGACAAACAAAACCACAACGACGACGACGACGACGACAACAACAACAACAACAACGACAACAACAACGACAACAACAACGACAACAACAACAAACAAAACCACAACAACAACGACGACGACAACAACAACAACGACAACAACAACAACAACAAACAAAACCACAACAACGACGACGACGACAACAACAACGACAACAACAACGACAACAACAACGACAACAACAACAAACAAAACCACAACAACAACGACGACGACGACAACAACAACGACAAACAAAACCACAACAACAACGACGACGACGACAACAACGACGACAACGACAACAACGACGACAACGACGACAACAACGACGACGACGACGACAACGACAACGACGACAACAACAGCAGCAGCAACAACAACAACAACAACAACAACCAACAACAACAACGACAACAGCAGCAACAACAACAACAACAACGACAACAGCAGCAACAACAACAACCACCAACAACAACAAATAAAACAACAAAAACATTTATTTATACCAATTACAAGTTACATAAATTAGAAACACAACATTACAGATATTACAAGAACAATTTACAACGTGAATTTACTATATTATAAAATAAGGCATACGGCAGCTAGAGAAACACAAGCTTTCGAGCTAGCCACCATAACCCATATCTGATCACGGAACACAGCTAAGGTTTTGAGTTTCGTTCAAGAGTTAGTTTCTGGCGAGGGAGGAAAACCAGAGGACCCTGAAGGAATAGCTTGGGCAAGAGTAAGGTAGCGTCATCTACCAGCCGTACTACGAACGTGCGTCTTTATCTTACAGGAAGGTGGTAGTATCAACAAATCTCTTCACACTCTTGGCAAAGTCATCTCAGTTTTGTCAACTCAAGAAAAGGCGGGAAAAAAGAAGAAAGTTCATATACCTTACCGTGACTCCGTGTTAACTTGGTAAGATCTGGATAGCTGCTACCCTGGCACTAAGAAGAAAAACGTTCGAACGCTTAATACCTCAAATTAGAGTTACACTCGGTCTACTTAATATCAGGATTTGGGGAATCTATTCTCGTCTCTACAATCCTTACTGCACCTCTAGGGAGAACAGTTTAGAACGGATAGAGCTAACCAGTATAAATGAAGTTAGTTTAGACGTGTAGATTTTGGAAGACGTATCAATATTCGTGCACTTTCTTCAGGTTATTAAAAGACAGTCTTGGCGGGAATTCTAAGACGGCCATGATCGCCACCGTGAGTCCCTCCATTGCTCATTATGAGGAAACTCTGAGTACGCTAAGATATGCAAGTCAGGCGAGAAGCATTGTGAACAGAGCAAGAGTGAATGAAGATCCAAATGCTAAATTAATACGAGGTAAGGATCATTCAGGCGTTCTGAAAACTCAAAGAACATAAATCTTGCTTACATTGGGTTCGGGGTGAGGGGCATTTATAACATCATATATTTTTCTTCCAGAACTATTGGCTGAAATTGAACGTCTTAAAGAATCATCTATTTCATCAGAGCCAGAAATTAACAACAGTTTAAACGATGAGATTACGATGTTACGAGAAAAACTCAAAGAAACCACCTCATTGCTGGCGGAATCCACAAAGTAAGGTTTTGCACTATGAATAATATTTGCAAGTATTTGGGTCGGTCGGTGGTCGGTGGGTCAATCGCTTTCTCAGTCGGTTATTCCGTTAATCAGTCGGTCGATCAGTAGATAATAGAGAGGTTTAGATATGACTTCCACTATTAAGGGACCATTAGCCAATCAGATGTGTTTGATACATTAGATTAACCAATCAGATGCGTTTGATAATTTAAATTAACCAATCAGATGCGTTTGTTAATTTAAATTAACCAATCAGATGCGTTTGATATATTAGATTAACCAATCAAATGCATTTGATATATTAGATTAACCAATCTGATGCGTACTAAGCCAGTGAGTGGTAGTGAAATCTGAACCTCTCTATTGTCAAATCTCGAGAACAGAAGCAGAATACATTATATTGTTTCTGTTTTTTCATAGAAACTGGCAAGAGAAACTAGAACTTTCTGAGAAGCGAAAGGTCGAGGAAGCGGAAAAGTTAAAGGTAAAGCAAGAATTTTTCACAACAAAAAAGATCATTTCAAAGTAGGAGTTCTGGATCGCGTGTTTGAAAATCCATGTTTCCATTTTAGCAAGCGGGTATTTCATTCAAAGTCGACAATAAACTTCCCAATCTTGTTAACTTGAACGAAGATCCTCAACTCTCAGAAATGTTGCTGTACATGTTGAAAGAAGGTACTGGACGTTTAACATGCTGGGACAGCCTTCGTAATAGGCCTAGTTTTTGTCTCGGCAAAATCGGCTACTTTTTGTCGATGTAAGTCAGAACATTCTCAACATGTCTCGGCATTTCCGTCAGCAATTGTTTTCAGGCTCACTGTTTTCAGTTCCAGTTATTTTCAGGCTGGGGGTTTTCAGGGTCGGTGTTCCGAATTCCGTTTTCAAATGCCAGAATCCCTTTTTCAACGCCAGACCTTCCTTTTCAAATGCCAAAACTCCCTTTTCAAAAGCCTGAAATCCGTTTTCAAATGCCAGAACGCCGTTTTCAAATGCCAGAAATCTGTTTTCAAATGGTAGAACTTTGTTTTCAAATGCCAAAACTCCGTTTTCAAATGCCAAAACTCAGTTTTCAAATGCCAAAACTCCGCATTCAAATGCCAGAACAGTCTTTTCAAATGGCAGAACTCCGTTTTTAATTGCAAAAACTTCCGTTTCAAATGCCCGAATTCCGTTTTCAAATGCCAGAAATCCTTTCTCCAACGCCAGACCTTCCTTTTCAAATGCAGAAATACCGAGCTTGAAAGGAACATTAACAGCAGTTCTTGTAAAAAAAACCCGGGAAAAGTTCTGAGGCGGACTTGTGGCAAGTCTATTCTCTTATAGCAAGCACTGCTAAGCACTATCTTGCAGCAGATTGTGGCAGGGCCACCGAGGCACTTTACCCCGGGCCCCCAAGCCCAAAAGGGGGCCCCCAAAACAACAGTGGCTCTTTGATACAAGATTGCTCACCGTTTTACAATTATGACGTGATAGGGGCATCTGGGAAGTTTTGCCCGGGGCCACGCGCAACCTCCCAGCGAGCCTGGATGGTGGTTAACCGGTAATTCTTACTTTATTTTATCATCTAGGGGAAACGACAGTTGGACGTCGTCAAAGTGAACTGTGTAGTGATCATGATGTTCAGTTGAATGGTGTTTTAGTGGCAGAGAACCATTGGTAGGCTTAAATGTTTTCATCCAGCCTTATTGTCAATGCAATTTTCAGCCCTGGCAGGCGAGATTTCGGGTAGTCAAGATTTCCCGTAATTGAGCTAACCTTTCATGTATAGGGGTCATATAAACATCACCTAAGATATGAAACCTTTTCCCACCTTATAGTTTGATCCGTAACGAAGGAGAAAAAGTGTACATTACTCCCATAGGTAAGATTGATTTAAAACGTACCTATAAACATATAGAGATCAATGTAAAGCTCACTTCCCTTGTGGTCGTTTGAGCACTCTGGCCCCATTACACTCCGCGCATGTCTAGAGCAATATATATCGAATCAAACACACTTGTAATCTGCAATCTTGAATGGTGCTCTTTCATTCTTCGCTGTTCTTCACCCTCTTCATCAATTTCTCCATGACATGTAAACTTTTATTCTCCATCAGATCGCTTTATCGCACACGCGTAAAAATCGCACACCTTCATTTCACTAAAATCTCGTATCCTTTACTGCAGACGATGCTCCAACGTACGTCAATGGTCAACAATTGTCAGAAGAAACCGTTCTTCATCATGTAATTTTAAATCTTTTCGATTTTTTAAAATTTTATTACTTAACTACTGTGACGAGGTGTTGATTTTCTTTATTCACGTTTCTAGGGTGATCGCCTTGTCATTGGCGGAGATCATTATTTTCGGTAAAATATACAATTTCAAACTTTTTTGTAAACTTACGAATTTCCTATACCATGAAATCCTGATTCTAACCGTATAGACTAAATCCAAAATTTTGCCCGAATGTAAAGTTTTCTCTTGTGCAAAGGTTCAACCATCCCATGGAAGTACAACAACGTAGACAAGAAAATTCCGAGAAAGGAGAAAGTGTTGTTCCTAAAGATTTTGAATTTGCCAGGAATGAATTGGCACAAGTGCAGAATGCCAGGTAACAATTTGATCGATAACTCTTTCTAGTTCGAGAATTTGTCTAGCATTAA